TTGAAAATGAATAGCCTTCCTAATGCCGCACACAAATCTGTGTATACCCCAGGGGCGGACTGACCATTTGGAAACTCGGGCACTGCCCGAGGGTCCGGGGTCAGTAGGGGGCCCCATGAGATGCCCCTGGTACCTTTTTCATAGGCTTTTTTGAGTTTGGGCAAGGACACAGGGGCCCCATGATCCCCTATTGCACAGGGGCCCCATGAGTTGTCAGTCTGCCCCTGGTATACCCACAGCAGTGATCTATTTACACCCTGATCTGTTGCATCTATCTTTACTCTGTACACCTTACCTTCACATGTACTACTGTCCCCATAAGATAAATGTATCTATTAATGGGATTGGTTCCCAGCTTAGGCTTATGAGATTTAAAACACAGAGGAAAATAATATGTAAAGAAAAAATGAATGGCTTTCCAATGAGATGGTAGCTGTGGATTCAATAGTGATCTGGATATATTTACAGACAGATAAACAGCATTAATCTCATGTAGAAAAAACATCAATGATTTGACAAAGCAACATTACACCAATTGCTATTACCCTGCACTCCACAGGCCCTTTGTTTGCAATAGTGACTGTAATAACAATATAAGATAAGTTAGGCCTACCAAGCTGAATACGGAATAGAAAAAAAAACACTATCATCCAATTATTTTCAGCCATTTGAGACCTTGCCCAGCACACAGCATCTATTGATATTTGCCATAAGCCTATGTTTCCATGGCAACTGCATGCGCTCTTAAACATTTAATAATGCACTAACACATGTCACATTTCTGTCCAGTCTGAAATACTTAGCATTCAGATGTACCAGCCAGTAATGGAATACATACACTACACAGCCTTTTATTTAGTCTCCAATTTCTCTCTTGTGGTTTCCAGCTGCATTACCGTCTTCAACAGAGGTGAGAGCATTTAAATAGAATGCACTCATTGCATCTACATTGTCCCTGGCATATTAATTGTTCATTAGGCTGTTGTATTATTAAAATCATAAAACAAGCCAATGTTTTACCAGGGCATTTGTTAACCAAATCCAGGAAATCACGTATTCTACATGAACATAAAAATTCTTTAAACATGCAGGATATGAATTATGGGAGCCAGGTGACATTTTTAATTTCACCTCAAGGCTAATAAAGCAAATGCTATGGCATCCTCATCCTTACACAGAGCCAAAACATTTTGACAAAAAGACAAACTGGCCATTTGCTGGTAAGTCTTGTGGCCCATTCACAGAGATGAGCTACACTAATGTCCACTTTACTGTACATTACCACAGCACACACTAACACATGAACCACTTTGTGGTGTGTTGTGGTGTCATGCATTTGGAGAACACTGCATTGTGGTACACTACATAAAAAGGGTCATCTAATATATAATTACAACAACAACCTGCGCTAGGACTGTGAAACCAAAAAAAAATATATATCATCAAATGTACCACAAGAATTGGGAAAAATTAAATATAACAATGACATGTGAAACCACAATTAAAATACAGTTATCACCAACAATTTGTGTATGATAGGGCTGCTGCTGAGATAGGGTTGGATCCCTCTTACCATACCATAAAACAAGATGTGACAGCTCAGAGCACTTCCCTGTGCAATTACTATATCCAGGGTCTATGCAATATCAGATCAAAATTAAAGATCAAATAATTTTGCAGTCTATAGTGAAGTTGTGCAATATTCTTCCAAAACAATAAGTGCCAAAATCACTGTGCAGTGCTCTTCTCCTGTGTTCCCACACTCACCGACAGATGAGGACTCTTACATATATACTCACAGGCCACCTTATTAGGCATACCTGTTCAAAAGCTTGGTAACACAAATTGCTAATCAGCCAAACATCTAGACATGGGGGGAAAACAACTTTCTGAAGTTCAAATTGAGCATCAGAATGGGGAAGAAAGGGGATTTAAGTGACTTTGAATGTGGCAAGGTTGTTGGTGTCAGACGGCTGGTCTGAGTATTTAAAAAACTGCTGATCTACTGGGATTTTCACGCATAACCATCTCTAGGATTTACAGAGAATAGTCTGAAAAAGAGAGAAAATATCCGGTGAGTGGCAGTTGTGTGGAAAAAAATGCCTTGTTGATGTCAGAGGTCAGAGGAGAATGGGCAGACTGGTTCGAGATGATAGAAAGGCAACAGTAACTCATATCAATATGGACCATAATCTCTGAGGAATGTTTCAAACACCTTGTTGAATCTATGCCACAAAGAATTAAGGCAGTTCTGAAGGCAAAAGGGTGTCCAGCTCGGTACTAGCAAGGTGTACCTAATAAAGTGGCCAGTGAGTTTATTTTAACCACATGCCGCCCAGCCACTGTAGAAATACAGCGGCAGGGCGGCACGGCTGGGCAAAACCACATTTTAAAACGTGTGTTTGCAAAACAGGTAGGGGGCGCGTGCGAGGTGCTCCACCGCCCTACCTGTCCCGCCGATCAGGGCCACGGATGTCAGTCGCTGGGTCACAGCCGTTCGTTTGCGGCTGTGTCCCGCCGATTAGCGGCAATCGCTAACAGAGAGCAGGGCTGCAGTAGCTCTGCTTTTATGCTTTCCCTGTCAGCTCCTGACATGCTGAGCCAGAGAGAAGAGTTTATCTTTCCCGATCAGCATGTCTCCCCCCCCCCCCATGCAGTACCCCCCGCCCCCTAGTAAAATACTCCCCTCACACAGTTAACCCTTTCAGTAAATGAAATAGTTAACCCCCTCCTCCCCAGTGCCATTAGTACAGTGTCAGTGTTTTTTTTTTTTTGCACTGATCACTGTATTGGTGTCACTGGGGATGTCAATGACCCCAAGTCAGTTCCCCCCAGTGTCAGAATGTCTGCCGCAGTCCTGCCATAAGTCGCTGATCGCCGCCATTATTAGTATAAAAAAAAAAATTAAAAATCCCAGTATCTTTCCCGCCATTTGTAAACGCTATAACTTTCACGTAAACCAATTAATTTGCAAGTATTGGGGGTTTTTTTCTTAGCAAAGACATTTTGGCTGAAATTTATGACGAAATTTGATTTTTACATTTTTTTTTTACTGGACATGTTTTATAGTAGTCCAAAATATTGTTTTTTTTTTATAGGGCAAAAAATAAAAAACACACAGGCGATCAAATACCACCGAAAGAAAGCTCTATTTGTGTGAAAAAAGGACATAAATTTAATTTATGTACCGTATTGCATGACCGCGCAATTGTCTGTTAAACTAGCACAGCGCTGTATAGCAAAAAAATGGCGTAAATTGCAGTATCTATACCATAGTTTGTAGACACTATAACTTTCACACAAAGCAATCAATATACACTTATTGGGATTTTTTTTTTACCAAAAACATGTAGCAGAATACATTTTGGCCTAAATTTATAACCAACTTTGAGTTTACTATATATTTTTTTATAGCTGAAAGTAAAAAATATTGTTTTTCTTCAAAACATTTGGTTTTTTTTTTGTTTATAGTGTGAAAAAGACAAAGCGCACAGGTGATCAAATACCACCGAAAGAAAGCTCTATTTGTGTGCATAAAAGGATGTAAATTTCATTTGGGTGCAGCATTGCATGACCGCGCAATTATCAGTTGAATTAGTGCAGTGCCAAGTAGCAAAAAGAGGCCTGGTCATTAAGGGGGGTAAATCCTCAGGAGGGCAAGTGGTTAAAGAGTCAAATGCACCTGTGTTATAAATCTCTTGGGATTGTTGGGACTTGTATTCCCCTTGGTCGCTTCTCCACTGCATTTCCAGGGATCAGAAGGCTGGTGTATTCTCACATAAAAAGATGGAATGGCAAGAGCGGCCCACATGGTGTAATTACTTTTTTATTATAAAACATAAAAATTAGTCGCACTTACATGAAGAGTACTTAAAAAAGCATTATGAAAAAAAGAATTAAGAACACCGGACCACAAGTAATGTCCATTTTTGTGTGTGTAAATGTTCATCACCTTAATGCAGGATACCTATAACGTGTGTTAGCACAATGCATAGTATGAACTGGCGCCTAGGCTACCCATTTATATTGGATGATCACGGTCTGAACAGCATTTGAAAAATGTCATTAAGTAGTATGCGGAAGTCTTCCAACCTCTGCAAACACTTGGCACATACAATTTCTCCCATACGATCTCATGATCAGACTTGAACATTTGAATGTGTGTATGTTTAATAGCAAGCTGAGACATGGCTTGGAGGCGGGGTTAGTCTGACTGCTGTCAAATGTCACGTAGAACAACAACAGGTACACTTTAAAAGCCAGCCCCCAACAGCAAATACTCATATTTCCATTACTCTCCTGCTTCTCAGTTCAACTGTCAAAAGCAAAGAATGACAGCCCTGTGTAAGCTCTAGTCAGATATCAAGTTGGAGCTTACACTGCATGGGCAAAGCCATCTTTGATCAATGGTATTTAAATGTTTCATAACTGGAGAATAAAAAAAATGCAAAAATGGATGGTACTTTTAAATACTATCAGCTTGAAGTAGAACTCCAGGCTAACAGAAAAATACAGAGTTGAAGAGCATATATAGGAGCTGCTTTACTTGTCAAAGGATTTATTTTTCTACACCCATTAATGCCTGATATACACACAGGCCTGTCACACTGGAAAATAAGTGACCTAACTTTTCTCTACAGCAGTTATGAAATTTAGCCTGGTCACCACCTTGCCCTAGTCTGTCATAGGACTGTGAAGGAGAAGCAGCAAGCTGATGAGCTCACTCTGACCTCTCCTCCTGTAAGTACCTTGACACCATATATGCAATGCAGCCCGTCTGGTTTGCTCTTAGTGCAGCCTCTTCATCTATCAATCTGAATGATGAAATGCAGGCAATTTCAAAAGTCTAATACCAAGCTAAATTCACACTATTTGCATTTAAAAAATGCATTTCATTTTTTTAATTACCGCATTTTTTGCTCCATAAGACGCACCTGACCATAAGACGCGCCTAGGTTTTAGAGGAGAAAAACAAGAAAAGAAATATTCTGAAGCAATGGACTGCAGACTCAGTACAGGAGATGACCAGAGACTGCGGACACAGTACAGGGGATGACCAGAGACTGCGGACACAGTACAGGGGTTGGCCAGAGACTGCGGACATACTACAGGAGATGACTACAGACTGTGGACATAATACAGGGAATGACCAGAGACTGTGGACACAGTACAGGAGATGACCAGAGACTGCAGACACAGTACAGGAGATGACCAGAGACTGCAGACACAGTACAGGAGATGACCAGAGACTGCGGACATAGTACAGGGAATGACCAGAGACTGCGGACACAGTACAGGAGATGACCAGAGACTGCGGACACAGTACAGGAGATGACCAGAGACTGCGGACACAGTACAGGAGATGACCAGAGACTGCGGTCACAGTACAGGAGATGACCAGAGACTGCGGTCACAGTACAGGAGATGACCAGAGACTGCGGTCACAGTACAGGAGATGACCAGAGACTGCGGTCACAGTACAGGAGATGACCAGAGACTGCGGACACAGTACAGGGAATGACCAGAGACTGCAGACATAGTACAGGAGATGACCAGAGACTGCGGACATAGTACAGGGAATGACCAGAGACTGCGGACACAGTACAGGGAATGACCAGAGACTGTGGACATAGTACAGATGACCAGAGACTGTAGACAGTGCAGGGGATGACCAGAGACTGCAGACAGTAAAGGAGATGACCAGAGACTGCGGACCTTTGGGGAGGGAGGGGGAGCGGGTACCTGAATTTGACAGGTACCCGCTCCCACTTCCGCGGAGTTGTCCTTCCTTCTTCCCGCGCTGGCTTCTGTGACAGCCGGGTGCCCACTGCACATGCGCGAGAAGCGCTGCACTTTGTGAATGGCCCGGAGCCTTCTGGGACCTGTCATGTGTCCCAGAAGACGCCGGACCATTCACAAAGCGCAGCGCTTCTTGCGCATGCGCAGTGGGCACGTGTCTGTCACCGAAGCCAGCGCGGGAAGACTGCAGCGCTGGAGCGAGGAACAGGTAAGGTCCTGCAGGAGAGAAGAGCTCAGTAGCTGGCCCGATATTCTGACATGGTCGCGGCAGAAATACTGGACCGGCCGCTTTATATTCGCTCCATAAGACGCACTGACATTTTCCCCCCTTTTTGGGGGGGAAAAAAAGTGCGTCTTATGGAGCGAAAAATACGGTAATACATTTCTGCGTTCACTGTAGTTTTTTACATTATACAATTTCTTATTAAATTTCCTATAGATTTACCTTTAACTATGTAGTGCAAGGGCCTGCCTGATTGCATACAAATTGAAAGTGTTTAGGTTTGACCTCATATTATATGGTTTTGATAAATCTAAAGGAAAATAGTACAAGAAAAGCCTAAGGCTGTCCATACAGTATATAATTTTCTTCTACAACAGTTCAAGGTAAATCTAAAGGGAATTGAATAAGAAAATAATGCTTGGCGATCCTAAGTACCACCCACCTCAGTGTCCCTTTAAACAGTTAAGAAAGCTCAGGAGGAGGGAAGGATCAGCGATCATGTGATCGTTATCACAGCACTCATGGTATCGGTGGTCCTGTCAACTACCAATCTTTAGTTCAGAATGAAAGCTGTCATTGACAGCTCAGTCTTTGAGCTGGGAGAAAGCAGTGAGTGTACTCTCTGGGCAGAAACATCAGGTGCCCAGCGAAATATACAGTGGGGCAAAAAAGTATTTAGTCAGCCACCAATTGCGCAAGTTCTCCCACTTAAAAAGATGAAAGAGGCCTGTAATTGGCATCATAGGTAGACCTCAACTATGAGAGACAAAATGAGAAAAAAATCCAGACAATCACATTGGCTGATTTGGAAATAATTTATTTGCAAATTATGGTGGAAAATAAGTATTTGGTCAATATCAAAAGTTCATCTCAATACTTTGTTATATATCCTTTGTTGGCAATGACAGAGGTCAAACGTTTCCTGTAAGTCTTCACAAGGTTGGCACACACTGTTGCTGGTATGTTGGCCCATTCCTCCATGCAGATCTCCTCTAGAGCAGTGATGTTTTGGGGCTGTCGCTGGGCAACACAGACTTTCAACTCCCTCCAAAGGTTTTCTATGGGGTTGAGATCTGGAGACTGGCTAGGCCACTCCAGGACCTTGAAATGCTTCTTACGAATCCACTCCTTCGTTGCCCGGGTGGTATGTTTGGGATCATTGTCATGTTGGAAGACCCAGCCACGTTTCTTCTTCAATGCCCTTGCTGATGGAAGGAGGTTTGCACTCAAAATCTCACGATACATGGCCCCATTCATTCTGTCCTGTACATGGATCAGTCGTCCTGGTCCCTTTGCAGAGAAACAGCCCAAAAGCATGATGTTGCCACCCCATGCTTCACAGTAGGTATGGTGTTCTTTGGATGCAACTCAGCATTCTCTCTCCTCCAAACATGACGAGTTGTGTTTCTATCAAACAGTTCTATTTTGGTTTCATTTGACCATATGACATTCTCCCAATCCTCTTCTGGATCATCCAAATGCTCTCTAGCAAACTTCAGACGGGCCCGGACATGTACTGGCTTAAGCAGGGGGACCTTTTGGCACTGCAGGATCTGAGTCCCTGGCGGCGTAGTGTGTTACTGATGGTAGCCTTTGTTACGTTGGTCCCAGCTCTCTGCAGGTCATTCACTAGGTCCCCCCGTGTGGTCCTGGGATTTTTGCTCACCGTTCTTGTGATCATTTTGACCCCACGGGGTGAGATCTTGCGTGGAGCCCCAGATTGAGGGAGATTATCAGTGGTCTTGTATGTCTTCCATTTTCTAATTATTGCTCCCACAGTTGATTTGTTCACACCAAGCTGCTTGCCTATTGCAGATTCAGTCTTCCCAGCCTGGTGCAGATCTACAATTTTATTTCTGGTGTCCTTCGACAGCTATTTAGTCTTCACCATAGTGGAGTTTGGAGTGTGACTGTTTGAGGTTGTGGACAGGTGTCTTTTATACTGATAACAAGTTCAAACAGGTGCCATTGATACAGGTAATGAGCGCAGGACAGAGAAGCCTCTTAAAGAAGGTGGTACAGGTCTGTGAGAGCCAGAAATCTTGCTTGTTTGTAGGTGACCAAATACTTATTTTCCACCATAATTTGCAAATAAATTCTTTCCAAATCAGCCAATGTGATTGTCTGGATTTTTTTTTCTCATTTTGTCTCTCATAGTTGAGGTCTACCTATGATGCCAATTACAGGCCTCTCTCATCTTTTTAAGTGGGAGAACTTGCACAATTGGTGGCTGACTAAATACTTTTTTGCCCCACTGTATGTGTATTAAAGTCCACCCTTTTGCTTTCGCACATATGTGGTAGGTGGTCGTAAAGGGGTTAAATATCTGCCTAGCATTCTGCTTTAACGTGAGCCTGTAAGGATGGAAATATGAGAGCTTTCATTTCTGACTTGCAGGTTTGCTGGCTGTGATTTTCACTTCACCATCTAGAAAGTCACTGATCTGGAACAAGCATATAGCTAGTAAAGTGTGAAGAGTTTAAAGCCAAATCAGCAATGACAGTTCCTACTTTTCTATTCCTTTAACTATGACCACCCTATACAAAGGTTGTTCTAAACACAATGGTGATATAGTAATAACCATAATAATCTCTCTTCAGCTATTTAGCCTGTGAGTAAAAATAACTGCAAAGAACTCCTGGAAATGTTATCAGCACACACACACAATAATAGATGGGAATCAGGGAACACCAGGTCACGGCAATGCAACAGAGAATTACTCATGTGCCATCATTACGCTTATTAGAGAGAGAAGCGGAAAAGAATCACAAAGCAGGGCAGACACAGAGAAAAAAACAACAGGAGGCCGATTAATTAGCTCAAGGTCACACAAAGAGGGAGTTGTGCAGGTGGGATTATAAGCCAAATAGTCTTAGGTTACACAGCCATTGGCCAACAAAGACTTTGGAAAGAAAGGAAAAAGTCCCACTTGATATACCAGCTGTCAGCCTATAAATCAAAAACAAGAAGAGGACATAAAAGAATGAGCAGGCTTTGTCACTTGAGAATTAAAAGAAAAACTGCTGTAGATAAAATACTACAGGGGCTTGTATACTGGATATACCTGCATTAAAAATATATTTTTATATAGCATATGAATTTCCCGTGAAAGCATATGGATAGCTATAACATACAATGTATACTTTGTAAACACTATTATATCCTATTATCTCTATATACTTGTTCCAGGTCAGTGGTTTAGAAAGCACTGAATTCGAAGCATCAGTACGACAGGCGAGCAACTAACATTCTTAACAGGAGAGGTTAGCAATGGCCTTGATAAGGGCAGTTTAATTTATCTGGTGAAATGTACACTCAAGTTCAATGCATGTGTTTCTGGTCTCCTTTGCAGTGCACAATGTAACAATGCAGTGACAATTGAAATAATGTTTTTATGCCTTATATGCAGATTAGGTGCACTGAGTATTGTGTTCTGTATGTGTCCAGCTTCTATTAAAAAAAAAAAAATAAAAAAATAAAGTATGAAAGCCACTTCGGCCCACATCTGACCTTTTGAGATCTTGAGTAGAATTGCTGAGATTCTGGCCGCGATCCCAAATGGCACTGCAATTGTGGCAAAAAGCAAAGTGCACGTGTGGGTGCCATTCATTTTCAATGGCACCTAAATGCGGTGTCGCTCTGCCACGAATGTCACGTGATAAGCCGTGCAGCAATTGTGGCAAGCCACATCGCGCGATGCTTGTCACCCAAAAAGGAACAGGAGCTTCTTTTAGGCAACAAGCATAGTGCGATGCGGTTTGCCACAATTTATCTTACAATAATCGTGACAGAACCACACCGTGTTTAGGTGCCATTGAAAATGAATGGCACCCCAACACACGATTCATTTTGCCATGACTGCAGTGTGATTTGGGATCACAGGCAGAATCACAGTGATTCTGCCCGAGATCCCAAAACGCCAGATGTGAATGGGACCTTATAGCTATTGAGAATACAGCTCTGCCATGCCCCAGTTACATGTACCACGAATAATTAATATGCCAAAAATGACTGGTTGAACCAAGAACCTTTTGACACCAAATCTTTATATTTATACTGGCTTTTTAAAAATAACAAATGCAATAATTTAGAAGTCCTAAAAGCAAAGAGGAACAAATAATTTGGTTCCAAAACAGGAACAATCCCCTCAAATGATGAACAGCTGGGATGAATGTATATTCAAATATGCATTAATCCATGACAATAAATAACCCACCTTTTACGGATTATAAAACTGTAAACTGTTAGGATGTGTTATTGTACTTTGTACATATTTAAAACAAATGTGCCAAATGTGTGCATATAGCTGATAAATAAATAGAAGCAGTGATGTTTTTGCTTTATAGCTCTGTACCTATAGTTATGTTCTAATACATATGCAGCAAAAGACACTTTACATTTTAAAGAGATTGTAATGCTTTTATTTATGAACATGTCATACTTACCTGCTTTGTGCAATGGTTTTGCACAGATCGGACCGCTCTGGTGTTCCCCGCCAGTGTTCCTGGCTCCTGTCCTCCGCCCAGTGCCCACCACAGGTAGCTGCTCTCTATGGAGGCACTTGTGTGTGCTCGTGTGACACAGCCTGACTCAGCCCCAACAACCCCCCCCCCCCACCCCCCGCTGCGTGCTCACAGGGTTTGACTAAGATAAGCCCGTGAGAGTGGGGAGAGGGAAGAAGAGCTGCTGCAGATGTGCACACCGCTGGATCAAGATCAGTTCAGGTAAGTAACTAGGAAGAGGGGGGCTGAAGGGGCACTACTATGAAAATATTTTTTTATCTTAATGCAGAAAGTGAATTAGGGCAAAAAAAAACTTTTACCCTTAGAGCCACTTTAATTACATTTTTACACTTTTAAC